GGTATTTATACTGACCAGTTTTCAATCTGTACATAAATACTTCATTGCAACGTTGATAATCACCATCTTTACTGTACTGGGCACCAGGTTGTGGTGGGCTATTGTTAGAAGATGATCCAAATCCTCCAATTACTGCAAGATAGTCCTCGCCATTCACTTTTATTGCTATCATGCCACAGTAGCCCTTCATCATAGGACCATGATGAGGTGTAGTAGGAGAGAGTTCCTTCCAATCAAAGGTATCAACATTAAAACTGTATAAAATACATGTATTATATAATATTTATCAGTAACTAATGCTGTTTACCTGTATAAACTATTATGAAAACAGCCAAAATGACTACAATAGCCTCCAAAAAAGAATATTTCATTTCTAATGACAGCAGCAGCATAGAAACTGACATCAAGTGGAGGGTCACCAGTGGTAGGCTTTTGTACCCACTCACCAGTTGGTACATGACAGACCTCCACTACAGAACACATTGATTTCTTTTTCTTATTATTATGCACTTTAGGGAGACCAGGCTGGTCCCCACCCCATGTGTACAGGTAGTTTCCTACCTGTACTGTCGAGTGAAACCTCCTCTCTACTGGTTGATAGACTATAAATAACAAGAGGGCACAGTAATATAGTGAATAGTTATAATAAGCAGAGGATACAGAGGAGTAAAGTAAGGGAGACAAAGAGAACAGGTCACTTACTTGATGACATCTCCTGCAGAAAACAGCCTCTACAGTCTGCACTATTAATAATAACTAACTCAATAATAACATATCATACATACTTCACCTGACATACCCGCACACTCCACTCACTTAATGTAGCAATGTACATTGTAGCTTGTGTTATCATAAATGATTTCAACATCAGAAAAATAAACAATGACAACTGAGCAAATGATAAACAATAACAATTATAAGAATGATTTTAATGGCAGTATATACGAACATTTATAAAAAGTATGCAAATGGATTAGCTACGCTAATTCAAGCAGTGTTATTCCAGTTCTAGGACATAGCATTAACTATTAACTATCAATATTATTATTCAAACACACTCGTGAGATAAAACACACAAACCACCACAGAAAGTGGTGAACACATAATCAAATAGTCATATGTAACACACAATAAAATGATCATCCGTCAAATTGTGAGTATATATACGTTCATCTCAGTCTGTGGTAACCAACACTGAATCCTCTTTTAGCAGCCATCTTGGACTACTGGAGATTTAGAAAGAGAGAGAGAGAGTGAGAGGGTGAGAGGGAGAAATGACAATAAAGGTTATTGTACAGTGAAGGGACAAAATTTGAACCATTTTGTGATTTTATTACAAGTTAATGATATCAAAATCACTAATAGTAAGGTACATGTAGATCAAGGTGTCACAGGACTTTGGGTTTAGGCTGTAGTAGAGAATCTTAATAAATACTGTTTCATGTAAGCTTGTGATAAACCTGGTGTGTGTGTGTGTGTATGAGTATGTGTGTATGCGCTAGGCTTGGGGTCAATTACAATTATAATTGCAATTACAGCATCAATTAGAATTACAGTGCCTAATTGTAATTGGGTTATACATATTGTAATTGCGTAATTGTGACTGTAATTGTGCCTACAATCTTACTTTGATATTCTACCTATATTAGTCCCGTAGAGTGAATTTTTAGCATCGTAAGCCTGATTAATGTTCACTCATTAACAAAACTTTTAAAAACACAATGCAATGTGGTAAAAAATTATTGTTATTTTTGTCATGATACGAATAAATCAAGATCATTGTAATTAATGCTGTAATTGCAAGCTATTGCCATTGTAATTGTAATTGAGTGTCTCATCTATTGCAGTAATTGTAATTGTAATTGATCTGGTTTTAGTTGCTTTGATAGTAATTGTAATTGTAATTGAAGTGAAATTTTGTAATTAACCCCAAGCCTGGTGTGTGCGCACGCGTGTGTGTGTGTGGGTAGTTATATACATGTATACTTAAGAATCCTACTTAGTAACACTACCGCGTTACTAATAATTATAAACATACATGTACCTTACAGGTACATGTACATGTATTAATTAAAAACTATACTCAATTATAAATCAATAGATCACACAGACACTATTTTGTATTAGCATAATGTATCAACAATTACATGTATGTTTGATTTCAGAGCCATTTTTTATAACTTAATTATTTAAAACAAATGCAAGCTAGTAAATCTGAACAATAAAACACTGCATAAAAGCTCACTAATTTATTTTTTATCTTATTTATTTATTCCCTTACCCCACTTTCATCTTCATTTTGTCTTTCACTACAAAAGGATTACCTTGAATAGCAACACATTCATTATCAAGGGACACAACATTACTACAAACAAACAAAACATATAAACAACAACAAAAATAAACAAAATAAAAATATCAACAAATAAACTCACTCTCCAGTCCTTACAACAGATGTGCTCAGGAGTCAATCAAAGTCAGTTAGTTCGTATGTTTTGTATAATTTCATCAAAACTGTCTCTGTCAGTAGTGTCATTATTAATATGAGGTGCTGCTGGAGGAGTGGGTTCTTCATCAGGATCATCTTCAGTATTAGCAATAACTAAAAAAATAATATATAATGATAAACATATTACAAGTAATTAGGAATATAATGTAGCTCTTAATTAATGTCGTTAATGCAGTGTACACGTACATGTACATGCATCAGAAAGTTTACAGCTACGCTTTTCAATTTTGACAAATATGGGCATACTATAGTACAGGGACTTTTCCTACATTTTGCAACAACTTTAAAAAATCTCAAAAAACCAAACTTGATTGGAATCAACTCAAACTTTCTACACGGTGTAGGTACAATGTACATGTACTATATAAACCATGGTTTCGAGGTGTGTATCAGTAATGTAAGACCTGAGTCCCGAGATGTCTGCCCAAGGCGAAGCCGAGGGCAGACATCGAGGGGCGAAGGTCTTACATTACTGATACTCACCGAGAAACCATGGTTCATATAATATGTGCTATATTTGCTGTAAGATCTATGGGATCTACCAGGAACGGATGCGCGTTTTGCTCGTTTGCTGAGAGATCAAACTCTATCCCTCTCTTTTACTTCTTGACAGAACAATAAAGGCCTTCTTGGAACTTCTCTGTAGCATTTATCTCTGCACGAGCTTTATTTTCGTCAATATAGTTGCAAATGGCTGGGTCTAGCCTACTACTATGCTGCCATTTTCTGCCATGTGCTGGATACTGCGCATGCGCAGATCGCTCGTGCATCTCATTACAGATGTACATACTCCAATGAATCTTATTATCTTGCAGTGAATATCGTTAACTGGCTGCGGTTAGGTGTACATGGCCTATGTACCACCTGGCGGTCCCTTTGATCTTACAGTAACTATGGTACATGTACAAATGTACATATATACGTGTGTGTGTGTGTGTGTGTGTGTGTGTGTGTGTGTGTGTGTGTGTGTGTGTGTGTGTGTGTGTGTGTGTGTGTGTGTGTGTGTGTGTGTGTGTGTGTGTGTGTGTGTGTGTGTGTGTGTGTGTGTGTGTGTGTGTGTGTGTGTGTGTGTGTGTGTGTGTGTGTGTGTGTGTGTGTGTGTGTGTGTGTGTG